GTTTTCAAGACGGAACCACACTGCCACCTCATCCCTTCCTCTGAAGGTCTTGTTCAAGGAATGGATTTGTATTTATTTATGCTGGGTCAGTGAAGAGTGTGTGACAGCTGTTTCTCTGATTGGTGATGAAGTGTGAATAGCTCTTGAATCTCTCATACTCTAAACTGTCCATATGTCTGCAGAAAACATTGTTGGCTATGTTTCACATGCACAGAATAAAGTAAATTTTACTTACTTGGTGTAGACAATTTATTGAGGATTAGAAGGCTGGAAGGTGCAGTATAGAATATGCAAAACTAAGTAAACGGTTGATAAGGATAAGTCATCCAATCTCCAGATGACAGAGTATATCAAGCTCAAAGTCTTGATTTGCATAAGGCTTTAAATTTGCAGGGCTTGAGGTGAGGGGAAAAATTGGGGCATCATCTTGCACTGGTATCTTGTGTATTACACTTGGTTTTGGGCTATAACTCTTTTAATTTCTTAGGTATCTGTATGTTGTCATCTGTCCCAAGCAGTAACTACTATCTTAAGCATTATGCTGGAGTAACGGGTGACTTCGTGTTCCTTAAATAATAATAATCCAGACAGTCCTGTATTGAGAATGATTTTTCAATGCTCCTTCAAACTTTGTTGACCAACACAATGAGGATACCACATGGAGACAGGCTATGCTCACAAAACAGGGTGGAAGGGAGACAATCAGTTCCTGAAGTTTTAAGTTTGATAGCATCCTGAAGATTCTCTAAAAATCAGTGGCATGGTGTTCTGGGTTTCTGTGTTTTTGGGATTTTGGGTTTGGGTTTGTTTTTTTGGTGGTGGTTTTTGTGGTTTATTTTTGTTTGTTTGTTTTTAAGAGGACATCAGTAATTGCACCGATCTATAATTCTTATGTTATGAAGTTCTTCAAAATTGCAAAAGGGTAAATGCAATGCAACTGTGGTCATGATGGAACTGAAGGATCAAGGTCCTGTATGACAACCAGTAGCAGTTTGTTGAGATGTGATGTACTAAGGAAAAGAGAATGGGTAACCCTCTCCATAAACTGAGGTAATAGGTTTCTTTTTGCCTTTGCAATAGTTTTACCAGAAACCCTAATAAACAGCAAAGTAGATTTCATACTGTGCCTGACAAAAGATTTTCAAGTACTGCAGGTGGGAAATAGACTGGATACAATAGTTTGCTATGTGTTTTGTAATTCTGAAAATTTCTTCTGTTAGCTTCCTTTCTTTAGTCTGTAGGAATAGACTAAATCATACCTAGGCACTACTTATGTCTTCCTGGTATCTTGGGTACTATTGTGGAATGCCTGTATAGAAAATCCTGTAATATTTTTCTCTAAAAGCTTCTCTGGATTGTTGTTACACTCAATTAAATACATCATCTACTTCTTTATGTTGCACATCAGCTTCTTTGTAATGTTGGGGGTTTCTAAACTCATTTCTCTGCAACACTTCTTGAAAGTGAACATTATAAAGGCTTACCATTTGGATATTGGTATAAATTGTTATTTCATCCAGAAGGCAAGTTTCCTTACCTTCGTAACTGTAGCATGCAATATAGTAAGGCCTAGGCCTTTCTGAATGATTTCTGAAATGTAAATCCATCTGAACTTTTTATTCAGTATATACCTGGGTAAGTATATCAAGAATTGTCTTGTGCCAGCCAACTCAGTCTGGAGCATCCCTGCACACCAAGTTTAATGTCTCAGGGTTTTCTTTGGAGTAAACCAAAGATCTAATTGAAAAATTTGTGGTGATTTCTACATAAGGTGATACCATACTGTCTTGTGGTGAGATGGTTTTTTGTGTATTTCAAGGCAGCTCTTAATGCACTGGTGCCTGATTTTGAGAAATGGGTCCTGTCACTATTGAGAGTTTGCCACAGGGTAAAGCATTCATGTAATTCTTTCTTTCTTATATTTGCAAAGTATTATGGCAGAATTTGGCCTCTGGAAAGGAATCCTACTGCATGGTCTGCACCAGAATGCTGTTTCTCTCTGCCATAGAATTTATTTCTTGTGTTTTGTCTCAACAGTAGTTAAATGTGTGGGTACATACTAAAGGTGGGTACTAATCTTGCTTAGGCCATGCATTAATTGCGTTTATTTTAGTGTGTATCATTATCTGATTTACCTTACTTTATATAGTATCAAATACCTTATTAATTGCAGCTTTTCATTTAAAAGAGCAGGGTTCCATCAGCATTTACATTTTCATTCTTTATGGGGTTTTTTATAGCAAAGATACTGCATTAAAAATAACATGGATAAAAGGAAGTGAGAACTTGCTAGCTTTTGTCTGGAAGTTAAAACTTACAAATTCTTACAAAATACTCCTTTCAAATTTAAATTTTTTTATCTAAGGTATTTTTTGTTGATTTTCTTTTTTCTAAACACATTTGTGTAATCACATTAAATTTACCTGATACAGAGATCAAAGGACACAACTAGTCCAAAAAATTCAAGAAAGATGCTTCCCATTCTGCACAGTTCATTTGCTTCCTATCTGTCTCTATTAAGTTACACTTCTGACTACCTTTTATTGCAGGACCGTGGCACAATTTTGCAACAAGTTGAAAAGAACATGTATTTCTACCATTTTGTAGAAGTAAAAAAATACTTAAGGATTTATACAGCAAATTAAACCTGTATTAAACCAGTAATTTCTTAAATTATTTTTCTCTTGGAACAAGAACTACCTTAGACTTGCATGAAGCCAAACTGCAAGAGCAGAGAAGAGAAATTGTCTGTACCCAGCATTCATACAGGAAAAAAGAGTTCCCCCTCTCCCAGCCCCAGAAAAAAGAAAGGTTCAGAAGTTACCAGTACTGCAAACATGACTCAGTACACAACATAAAGGGCTTATTGTGGTCAATGGGAGCGGTAATAAAGCATTGCCTACATATGCTTCTAAGTATAGAATCTCATGAATGGAAACATTAAAAGCAAGGGCAACTGGCAGCATTGTCACTCAAATGATTATTTTTAGAGGATTACCAATGCTTCCAGTCTGTTGTTAGTACTACCTCTTGCCAGCACACACAAGCTTCATTCTGTTTGCCCAGTTTTTTAAGTGACAGCTCTTAGAACAACAAGATTCCTGTTACTTCTAAGGACCATAACAAAACAGCTTCAAAACAGGTGGAGTGTAATTGAGTAAGCAATAGGTATTTTATTAGCTGAAAATACAGAATCCATGCATGTTACACCTACATTAAATGTAATTGAAGTCCTCAGTTTCACCTACAAAATACCCATTTCCAAGAGGCTTACTGTGCAAGAAGTTTATTGTATATTATGCATGCTAGAGCAACAAGCACTGTGACTTTCTCAGAGGACAGCAATGAACAAATAGTATAACAAGGTATTTGAGTGAGACAAATCACATCAATATTAGATGAAGTTGGTTAAAGTTGCTTGACTTCACATCGTTTTGCAGTCCTGCCAAAATTAGGACCCTACCTCTTAGTAAAGTTTTTTTTGAGTCTGATAACAAAATTATAAATAATTGGCTGTAATGAAGCACAAATGTTGTCATGTACATAAACTGAAAAAAAAAGCTGGACTAAATTCTATTGCTATATGAAGGTATAATACAGTAGACAGATTAGTAGCAGTTCTAACTGTAATTTTTTTTAAAATGAGCAGTCAGTGCAACATTCTCCCATTAATGATATAACTCCCACCTTATCCTGCACCATCACCAAATCCTAAATTTGCCATTATGTCCTAGCTATGCCAGGACAATGGGAATTTGGGAGTTAGAGGAGCCCTAGGATATTTTGAGAATTCATGCAAATGCCCTAACTGGATATTTTTGCTAAATGTTGCTGCGTAACACATTGAGCCAGACCTTTCCCAGCCATCCAATAATTTACCAAAAGCACTAGTTTTGTGATGGTTGAATGTTGCTGAATTTGACAATTTAAGCAAAAGTAAACCCCGACATAATTTGAGAAGTTCAGTGTTCATTTAATGAGAGAATAGGACCAATCTATTACTTGGAACAATTAAAAAAATGCTTTAAAAAGGCAAGGTCTAGGGCAGATCTGTACATCTCTGAATATCTCTGAAAGTTTAGACAAGAACAGTGCTTCCATGCCTTCATAGAAGTTAGGGAAACATCCCCATGTCTGACAGTGTTTTGATTTTTCAAAGCCATATTAAGATAAAGCATAAGCAAACTACAGGGCACTGCATCTTTACAGACTGATTTGCAAATCTTGGGACAGTTTTACCTATCTTGCTACACATTAAGTTCACTATGGAACCCAGTGTATTACTGATTTTTATATAACACATTTGATAAAAGAAAAACAAAATACTTAACTTTCATGTCCTACTGGCCTTAACTTCAAGATGTAAAAGGCCTAATCCCTGATTTCTCTGGGATCTTGTCTGCTACTTGTAAGGGTGGCAGTAGGTATGATTAGGTACATTCTCTCACAAGCATGACTGCAAATAAATGTGGCTGCTATGGACACAGATGTACAAACCGGTCACACTACTGGTGTCACTGGTTATGTTTCAAGTGTTGCTGTAATCTTTGCCTGCACTGAGAGGCACTAACGAGAATGCAAAGCATTTCAAGATGTGTGTGATCCTCTCATACAGCACTGTCAGTGGAAGTAGCATCGTGTTTGGGCTTGTTTGAAGGCCTTTTGTGTAGTCGAAATGCTATCAGTAAAGCAAAACCCCAAAAACCCCAGGCTTGTAAACAGGAATTTAATCTTATAGAATCTAGTGCTTCCTTAGCCTGTAATTACACTTTGGCTTTCCCATACTTCTCTCCTGAGCAAAGGCAGTGTAGTCTCATCAGGTAGAAATGCCTACTAATGCAGAAATGGGCCATTTATAAATGTCTGTGTGCTTTGTAATGGAAAACCAATAAACCATGATCTTCAGCTTGCTAGTTCTGTTATTATTCTTGCTGATTTATCAAACTTTAGTAACCTTTGTCTTCATTGCTGTACTCATTAGGTGTGAATCCCTGGCTCACCTGAATTATCCTGGTTTTCTTCTACCATTTTATGCTCTGCGCTTAAGAAGTAATCCAAATCTTGTTGGGTTTTGGGTTGGTTTTTGGTTTTTTTTAATCTGGAAAAAACATAGGATATTTGATAAGTTTCCAGTGTTCATAATGGGTGATGAACTTGTATGAAGTATCTGTGCATGTACTTACACAAAGTTTATGCAGTAACTATACATATTAGCTAGATAGCATAATAATGCATAAATATGCAACATCACATTTTCTGTAGTTGTAAGAAGGTAAGATGGCTGTACGGAAAGCCACATTTGTGTCAAAATGGAAAATTATGGAAATAGCTGTCACAAATTAAATGTGCAAATTAAAAGTAGGGACTTGGGGCTATTTTATGCAGTTTTGGATACATGAACTATGCTAATGAGTGAAGTTTTCTGAATGTGCAGTACGACTCCTAATACTTACTTGAAGTAATTTACCAGTATAATTTTAAAGTTTCACTGGCATTGTTCAAAGGGTAAAGCATTTATTTACACATGCCTTTACTGTTCCCAGTACTGATGTATGTGGTACACACGTGTGTCACAATGGCAGCAAGTGATTGCTGGGAAATACAATACTACCTGCAAAGTAATCTAAATTTTGGTCAACTAATAAAGAAACAGCGTTGATATCTTTAATAAAAGGAGACCTAGATGGAGGCTGGTAATTGCAAAATCAGCTCATCTTTCTGGTTGGGTTCACTTTGTATTCTAAAAAAATGATACTTGTTAAAGGAGATGAGGACCTAGAGGTTTCTCAATGTCCTTATACCAACAGTGATGGAATTCAATATATGCTGACAAGTGCAAGTTCTAGTTCACTTAATTTAGATTCTTGAAGTGATTGTGTGATTCATCTGGTTTAGGGAATTCACATTTTAGACATGAGTCATTAAAGACAGTGTGTTAGTGTGAGTTGTTAAAATTCATTGCTTATGAGACCTTGTTGGAGCATAAGAAGTAAATGGTTTTCTATTACCTAAGAAAACTCTTCACGGTATTTACTTACAGTTTGTTTTGTCTTGGTTTGTTCATGCCTCTCATTCCGTGTACTACCTAGTGATAAATTGATTTAGTCATTTGTCTGTCATACGTTGTAGTTAAAAACCTACTTTTATAGTTACAGTTCTGCACCTGTCATTGGGGAGAGCAATGGTCTGACTACACTTAGGTTCATTAATAATACTGGGTTTTAATCAAATATAATCCCAAACTCCTGGGTTTTGCTTTTAATGATTGGAAAGATATTATTTAAAAAAATTAAGTGACCCATTCGTCTGGTACTAAGCTATTAGAGGCTTTTATTCAGTTGAATGACTGACTAATGTAAATAATGCATTATTCACTTTTTATTGTTATTTTATGAGCACTCTATTAACTTCATTATGCTTTAACTTCAGTATAAAATATCATCCAAGTTCTTTAATAAATAAATAGTACAGCTACAAAGAAACTTTATAGAACTCTGAAACAGAATTCTGGAAGAGGCTGTAAAATATCCGGTCTTAGAGATACTCAAAAGGAAACCAAGCAACCTGCTAATTCGAAAGTCAGATCCACCTTCAAAGTTGGTCCTGCTTTAAGGAGACAAGGAAGGTGGTGGAGCAGACCTTCAGAACTCCTTTCCAATTAGTTCTGCAAATCTACTTCTTAAATATATCACTGGGTATTTTCTTTGGGGATTTATTTTTGATTTGGTTTGGTTGGCTTGTCACACCAAAGTGTGTTGAGGGGTGGAAACTAATTTCTTGATGATTTTTTTTAAAACCACAATTCTTATAATAAAATATATTAGTAAAAGTTAGAGTATTATGATTTTTTGCAAGTCAGTGTGAAAGTGCTGATTTATTTTTTTCTGAATCTGAGGTTAAAAATGACAAAGTGGAATATCTTCAAGTGTCCTGCACTCATGTACAGACCAAATGGAGTAAGTAATAATAAGAATAAATAATAATACCCACTGAGGTATTTATGCAGGCATTTAGGCATTTATTTTCAAACTGAATACTGAATCAATCACTCCTGTTAACAACTTGCATACTGAAACTCGCTTGCTGGGCAAGTCATGACACTCTTATTATTTAATAATGGAGTAGAGTGAAAGAGTACATACAAACTGTGCATCTTGTTTTCAAAACCTGAGAAGTTTTTAGGTTGTATTAAGCTGCTTTTACTGGAGGTACTGAGTAGCCTTTATCCTGTATCTCAGCAGTAGCAGGAGAAACACCCTCAAACGTAAGGGTGCAGTAAATCTAAAGAAGTGACTAGTAATTTACTTGCAGTTTAGTTGTTCGTATATGTAGAGCTACTAGCATATAGGAAATGTTAAAAAAGCAAAATACACATATGAACTTAAAATTATTATCAAATATATTAACCTTTGTTTTATAAAATATGTTTATATATGTAGTAAATTTTGGGATAAAATCTGCTCTTTTGTGTTCAGTTTTCTTCCAGCTACATTCTGTTTGCAGCACAAAATGTATATCAAGATACAAGACCTCTGAGATGATACATGTATCTCAGGATATGTTTTTAAACTAAGACTTTGTCTATTAATAATAGCAATGTTATAAAAATGTTAGGTATTGAAATAAAAGCAGAGATTGGGGATTTTAGAGGCTTGTTGGAATTACATCTGTCTGATGCAGAAAAGTTCACAAAACTTGCCTCGTAATCTGATGCTGATATTCACTGGATGAATTTTTCTCTGGGTGCTCTGATGCATGTGCTATAATGTTGGGTTGTTCTTCAAACTACATTGTAAGTAAAGCAAAAATGACATGACATAAAATTATGAAGAAAAAACCCAAGAATAAACAAATGAAAAAAACCCCACAAACTTCTGTGGACAGCACCATCATGATTCAGCATCTGAATGAACTTCACTCATGCAAAACTTTGTAGTAGCCTAATGAAAAGTACTTGCATTATTATCCATTGCTACATTATAGCAGAAGACTACAAAAGAAATTGTATTACACTGTGTACTTCTGTCCTCAGTTCTTAAATTAAATTAAGGGGTAAGGAATCTCAGAATCAGAAAACAAAACAATGGAGGAATGAGAAGGGGAGGATTGTACCACTGCTGAATACAGGGTATGTATAAAACTCGCATAGCAAAGGTTGAGTTCCCAACATATGTTTAAACAAGTTATAAATGTCATATTAGTGTTCTGTTAGTATGAATAAAATCTTGCTATCCCTTAGATACTCACAATGCAGCTCTGCCACTAGATGTCATGATGTGTATTTGGTGTGTAAATTGTCTACAATATGCAAGCTTACTACCAAAATTCACCTGGGCTCTGTGCTTTTAGAGTATTCCTCTACCATGCTTGGGAACATCTTTTTTCTTTTCTCAGTACTGATCCGCCTCTTGGTAACAAGTAATAATTAAAAAAAAGTTTCTCATATAATAGCAGATACTGCAGGCAATATGAGCTCTAGATTCATTCTGATCCTGACTTATCTGTTGTTTTTTAAAATTCCATTTGCTATGACTAATGTTATAACTCTCATACCTATCATTAAAACTTAGTTGTGTACCAGAAAGATATAGATCTTTGCCCCCTCAAAATATCTAGTTTTGTTTCTGAGCCTGAGGAATTTTGTTACTGCAGTCCTGCAAATCAGGTAGGAAGATGATTGCTTTGAGTTCTGATGCTTCTACCTGGCTTTTGCATATATTTAAAACTTCTTTGTTTTACTTGAGCCAATCAAGAAAACAGATTTTTACAAAATAAGTTAGATTGTGGATTAAACTCAGAAATCTTTTATTAATGAACAATAAACTTTTGATTACTTTGAGATAAAGATTTGAATGTTATCTTTTTCATGCTAAAGATGGTCAGAAATTAATTTCTTTGATTTCTCCCCCTTATTCTTCTATTAATTTCTAATTTAAACAAGGAAACACTTTAGACTTTAATCTCAATACAGAAGCATTTTGTTTTTGTTACTGCCTTTTTAAATTTTTTTCTGTCTAGTTCTGCCTTCTGTAAGGGATGTGCAAACCTGAAACATGGCAACAGGATAAATATGGTGGCAAAACCAAAGACGGTTGGTTTTGGTTGGAAAGGCACAGAAACAAGTTTACCCCAGGGCTTTATGCAGCTGAGTCCTGGCACTGTTTAAGGAGGAGAGGGTTTGTGTCCACCTGCTGAAGGAGGAGGTTTCAGCAATGGACCGTGGAACCTCCATAGCTGAATCTCCACAGCTGCACTCCCTGGACCTCGTTCCTTCAGCCTTCCTCCAGGCAGCGCCCAGCATCAGCTATCTGCCCTAATTATAGACAGAAGAAAATTTTAACATAAATCATGTTTATGAGTTTTTATCTTTCCCTGAAAACAGCTCTCTCGGAGGGGAAAAGTGAGAGGGGAAGAACGTTGGAGAGTTAGTGGTCCAAGCTAGAGTGAGGTGAGTAAAACCAGATAGGGAAAATAAAATCAAGCCTCTTCCCAGTGTGCTGTGGTGGCTGCCCCCTTGTCCCTGTATTTCTGTCAGCCCTTATTTTCTTTTTCCTCGCCTGAAGTCTCGCTGCCCGCAGCCCGCTCTCTCCGGGCGCGCCAGGAGCGGTGCAGACAGCGGCGCTCAGGAGCGGCCGAGAGGGGGCAGAGCACACGCGCCAGGCCCATCTCAACCCCACTCACGGACCGGCGCAGACCCCGCGCCGCTGCTCTCCGCGGCCCCCGGGTCGGGGCTTCCTCCTCCGCGGTGCCTCCTCCTCCCGTGTGGCGAGGCCCGGCCCCGGCCCCGGCCCGGCCCGGCCCGGCCCCGGNCCTCGGGGGCGCACAGGGGCCGCTCCGCCACCGGCGGGGCGAGGGGCGCCCGGCACTGCTCGCCCGGTCAGCGGCGCGGACCTCACAGCTCAGCCGCCTGTGTTTGTACGTGTTAGTCTGCCCTCTCTGTGCCCGTCTTGCGCTGCCCCCGAACTTCGGACAGGGCCTCAAACTTTGCCATCAGTGTTGGGCTCTCCCACTCCCAAAATGGATGTCGGCATCTCCTCCAGCGATGGGCAGCGGAGCCGTTTACCGGCCTTCGCCCAGCACGAGGGTTTGGGGGCCGTCGTTGAGGTGGGACCCAGAGAATCACTGCTGTAAAGTTGCCTAGTCCAGGCTTCTCATGGCCTGGGTGGCATCTTCCTAGCGTTCAGGTGTCTGGTGGGAAAAAGTTCGTCTTGATTGCAGCCAGGCCTGGAAGTCACAGCCGTTCCTTGCTGGGGAAGTGTGGGCTGCTTGGGCTTAGCTGTGAGGGTGAATCCTGCAGCAAAGCTGTTTGCCTTGTAGTGCTCAGGGTCCCACCTGACAAGTCAGTGATACCCAAGCAAAAAATGTCCCTGCAGTGTATCTGGCTGGTGTTGCCTTACGCCAGCAAGCTGTTCCTGTGAATACTAAGACGTAAACTTCTCAAGCCATGTTTGGAATGCTCCCTGTGCAACTACCATGGTACTAAAAAAGAGTTTGTGCTGTACAAGAGTAGATAAAGTGCTGCTGCTGCTGTTATTGCCCTCTCTTTGCATGCAACACTGTCTTGAGCAGTAGTGAGGGATGTGTATGAGTAACTGCAGTGTTGCAAGGCACAAGGAAGGCTGTTTGCTCTGCCATAGCTTGGGGTGGTCAAACTGTGCTTCTGTCAGGGAGCATATGTTGCGGTATCACCAGTGGCATCGAGCTGCATAGGAGTAAGGTCTTCCTTGGTTGTGTGGTAATTCCAGGTTAGCAGTCTACACCAGTGAAGTAATACTAGTGCATATAAGCCATTTGCCAAGTACAAGGAGGTTCTGTATAGGCTTTGTTGTGACATTGCTGCTTATGTAAACAGTGCCAGGCTGACAGATTTCTGAATGAAATCTTTTTTTTCTAGAAAGTCAGCAGCAGTGTAAGATTTCCAGTACCGATTTCCAGCTGCTGAACCTTAGCTTTGACCTAGAAAATCTCAGAGAGAGACATAGAGATTTCTGCTCCTGCCAGTCTTTGCAATGATTCCTATGGCTGCCAGCTAGGGACAGGATTGAGGCTGCCTGCTTGTTTGTAGTTTTTGAGGGGAAGGGACAGCTCAGATCTTGTTTTCTTTGCAGACAACTTTTCAGCCATGTTGTTCAGTTTGGGTTCTGCTCAGGTTGTTCAGCCTGGAGCCAAAGTCTTTATGTATCTTTTTGCCAGCAAAACCTACCTTGTTCCCCAAGAATTACATAAAAATAATAATAAAGTTGACTAATCTTAGATTCTGATTTAAAATAGTAGATTGTAAAAAAATGTTTTAATTTCACTTGCAGAAGAGCCTGATCAGAGGTGTTTTAATGACTGGACCAGGTATAAATAAGCATTTAACACCATCAGCCTATTCTTTGGGGGCAAAGGTTTGATAATCCTCCGCAGCTCTGTAAACTCTAACTCTGGTTTACATTGGTGTGGATGTGGGAAGTGAACAGGATACTATGTGTTTTAATTGTAAAGTGTTGTGACAAATGACCTTGGGAAGGTTAGGCAACAAGCCATAGTGAAGCAGATCCTCCGATTCCAAGACTGGGTCTCTAGCCATTAGGAAAGATGCACCTGTCATGCTCTGTCTTGACAGTTTGTTTTGACCTACCCAAAATACATAGCTATTGATTTGTTACTCTTTGAAAACTCTTAAAAACTCCCATCAATTATATCCAGTCCTTCACCCCAAAATACATCTTCTTCTGGTATTATTCCATCGGAGAGCTGGCCTTATAAAGGAAGAGTTTTAGTGGGGTTTGGTGCCATTTTTTTGGCATATATTTGATAGATATGGACAAAGATTTTTTCTGATCGGAGTGCAAAGTATCCATTTCCTCATGCAGGTGTGTTGGGGAAGGACCTAAGACTGCATTTTTTCAGGATAACTGAAACAACATAACTTCTGTTAATGAGCCACCAGAGCTCCACTTTTCCTTCCACTGCTTACATTTATTTTCTATCACCTACAGCAAAATCTAACAAATAGGAAAAGAGGCCTTTCTTTTGCCAGAACCTATTATTTTGCATTTCTAATCTTTGGATCACACATAGCCGGTATTTTTCACAATAGTTCTTGAGTTCTCTCTCCTCTGAAAAGGAGAAAGAAAGACAGGGGGTTCCATTTGGTTGAGGGGCATAAAGAGCACAAGGCAGGGGTCCTGTGGAGGCAGGTCAGGGAATTGGGCTGGCAGTTTTGCTCAGGAAGGAAAGGATAGTAAACGAGAGGGAATGCAACTGGTGGGAGTACATTACAAACTCTGTGAAGAGAGAAAATTTAACCTATGTGTAGTGTAGTTAACACACATATATAATTAATATATATATTAAAAGTCAAGGGCCCTGCATTTAGAGGGTCTGCTCATTGTCAGCACTGAGTCACAATCACCATTATCCAGAGTGTATTTTCATTAAAAGATCAAGAGTTCAGTAAGAACTCATCTGAGGGATGTCTTCTCAGGCGTTGTTCTGGAAAATATTTAGAATAAAAAAATTGCTTGTCACAACCCCTAATGTAGAAATTAATTTTGAAAAACCGTCTCTGGTAGTGTAACACTAAAGTCACATCTATGTCTGTAAATGCTAAAGTTTGTTCATGCTTCATCTCAAGAGTAAGTGTTTTGTGGTTTGGGTTTAGTTTTGTGGGTGTTTTTTGTTAAACTGGTAGTTTTTGGAGTGTTTCCCCATAATGAAGTGTGCCATACTCTATCTTTGCATTTGCTTTAGTCAACTATACATCTATACAGTGCATCACAAGAATGTTACAAATTTATTTCTATTTAACCAAATAAAATCAAATTATGAAATTTATTTTTTTTCTGGTAAATCACACTGTTTTTCATATTTAATTACTAATATTGTGACTCCACCATGCTTCTGTATCCCCATAATCTTCTAATTCAGTCACCATTAAAATGATGGGAGGGGGCACTTTTTAGACTGGTTGGAACTCAGGCTTTGAGCTCAGATCCCCGCTGGTGTTTGGGGAGGTTCCTGGTTATAACCAGCAGCTAATTGTTATATCAAGCATGGATTAACCTCCTGTCCTTAGATTCTGGGAGAAGCTAGCTTACTAAAGTTTTTACTGTAGTAGCACATGCTCACTTGACTGGTATATTTACAGTCTTATCTTTTGAAAACTTCCAATGAATCACAGTGGTCCAACTTCCAGTTTTGCTGCCTGCCAGATTTGAGGAGACTGTTTTGCCTCCAGGCTAAAGGAAATGTTTTTGAGTGTAGAACACCAGATTTTCTTGAAAACAATGAAAATGGTCACCTGTTGGATCAAGAGATGAGTAACCTACTTTTTATTGCTTTTGCTAGTCTTAGTTTCTTATTTTTTGCACCTGTTAGGTATTTGGGGTTCCCAGTTTCTCCTACAATGATCCCAGTTTAAAAAAAGCATTGTTTACATGGATATAAGGAAATATCAGTATACTAAATGTGCAGATTGATATCAGTAGCTGGAATTGTCTGGATAAGTAACTGTCTGCAAGTGATAGAGAACTTTTTCCATGTCACCCAGATGCCACATCCATGCAACTAAATCATTTTGAAGGATGAAATCAAGATAAAGTTGTTCCCAAGGTGGAAAAGTAGGTGTGGTAGAGGGCAATATTGGGTCACTTAGAAGCACACCCAGTTGTTCTGATACAAACAAAATAATAATGAAATAATACTTGGTAGTACCTTTGGCTTTGTTAGACAAGGTAAGAACAAGAAACAATCTAAAATTCCATGTTAACTGTTCATTTGTTTCTTTGACTTTTTTCCCCTTCTGCTGATCCTTCTTTAGTCCTGGATATGATGTTGCTTTTTTTGTTCCAGACCACGGAAAATATTTTCTCTGCTTTTTGTTTCAGGCTGGTGTCTCTGATAGTATTTGAGCCTGCCTGCTTTGAGTAGTGTTTCATCTCTAATGACAATGTCCATTCAAGGGGGTATTTTGGTTAGGAGTATATACACAAGAGACATTCCTTTTGTACCTGTTTAGGGCCTAGGAATTGTAATGAATGGCTCCAGAGGGATTTTCTTGAAAACCCTTCTGACCCTCTGAGAATTCAGTGCAAGACACTTACTAGTCTTGTATTAAATGAGTGTCCAGCTTCTGCATGGCAGCTAAGGCTGCCTCATCTTTGTGTAAAGGAATGAGAAGTTTGTCCTGGATCAGGAGTCAGTTAAAGCTCTCCCTGTTTTTGCAGAGGCATCTCTTAACATTCCCTCTTAGCTGAATCTACTGGGTTAGGTATGGGGCTTGACCTCTTCAGAAGGGAGAGTGGCCCACATTGTCTTTTCTTCACCCCTTTTCAACTGGCCAATTTTTATTACTTAGAGCCTTAAGCAAGTGAAAACTGACTGAAGATGCCAGGACTGGATCAATTTTCCACAGACTTGGTGGAGCTGCCACTCATGAGGACATTCTGGATCTGGACTTTCAGGCAACCATAAGTATTTGACAAGTCCCACGAGATGAATTTAATATTTAATTAAATTCTTCTGCTATTACATTACAAGGTTCTTCTGAAAATGGCCATTCCACCAATTACTGTCGGTGGCAATTGACCAGAGGAGATGGCTTTGGAGGCCTTTTCTCTTTCCAGGGTGCCATTAAGCTACCTGTAAAACTTCATCTCCCTTTCTGGTTCTCCTCAATGCAGACAGAGCCACTCGATACTTTGTAACACAGATTACAGTAGGCATGAGAGCAAGCGGCTGCTGTAGCTGGTGAAACTTCAGTTATTAAATGTATTTAAAGTATTTTAAATGACATGTAAACATCAACTTCCCCATCCTGGATTTGAAATTGTTTCTTTTCTTGGACACGATAGTAATTTGAATATTTCCAAGGTTTTTAAACCAATCCTGTGCTCACTAGGAATTTTGACATTAACACCAAAAAGAAGTGATTTTATTTACTGTTATTGCAAATACTGGTGCTGTTTACCTTTGCTCAGGTGTCTCATAGCTGACAGGAGCATGGGAGACATAGGTACTGTCAGACAAATATACCTGATCTATCCCCAAGATAGGACAGGACAGGGCACTGCAGGTGAACAGGGTTAGCTGAGGCAGTTCTATTTCCAGGGCCTGCTCTGCTTTTGAATGTGGTGTCTTTGCTGTTGTACTGGATTGCTCCATGGCTCTGGGTCAGCACTTCTACCTAAGCTTCTGCTATGTGTCATTGCAACCTAGACAGCCTTTGGATGACCCTTGGGCTAGGAGCACAACCCTTTGTTAACAAGGAACATTCATTTTTACAGGGGGTTAGACTGTTAGGCATATGTTTGTAGCCTAATATTGGAGATCCTAGAAAATGGGGTCCTGTTTCCCTATTGAAGTACTCTTTTTAAGTTTGATTTTGATTTGGAAGGTAAAGAGCAGGACTCTTAGTAGTGAACAGAAGAGTTAGCTCCCTGCAAGTTCAAAAGCAAGTTTGTTCTTTTACGCTACTTTAGGGTGGTTCC